AAGGACATAACTATTGGTACTCAAATTTGTAATTTCTACTCTCAATGACTTTCTTTGCAGTTTTAAGTACTTTTTGTTCATGGTGTTTTTTGTTTTTTGTTTTTTGGTTTTTTGGTTTTTTTTTTTTTTTTGGTTTTATGAGACAGGGTTTCTCTGTATTGTTTTGGAGGCTGTTGGTCCAGCCTGGCCTCGAACTCACAGAGATCCGTCTGCCTCTGCCTCCCGAGTGCTGGGATTAAAGGCGTGCGCCACCACCACCCGGCTATGGTTTTGGTTTTTGAGACAGGGTCTCACTGTATAGTTCTTGGCTGTCCTGGAACTCACTATATAGACCAAGCTGACCTTGAACCTGCCCCTGCTCCTGAGTGCTGGAATCAAAGATGTGCATAACATCCAGCCTGCATCTTTTAGTACTTTTTAAGGTGCTCCATTTGTGAACTCAAACCATAAGCACAAATAAATTCATTCCTAGAAGTACTGTGATCATAAAAGAAAGTCAGTCCTAACATCATTAGGTGTTGTTGAGTAGCTGGTCATCAGACCCATACCTGTAAGCCTAGCACATGGAAGGCTAAGGGGAGAAGGACTCAGAATTCAAGGCTGGTCTGGCTACACAGCAACTTTCTGTCTCACCACATGTCCTCTCTGTGGTGATATTTTATTTGTGAACTAACAAATAAAGCTTGCCTGAAAAATCAGAGTGCGAAGTCAGCCACACTAGTTAGTCATAGAGGCCAGGCAGTGGTGGCTCACACCTTTAATCCCAGCACTCAGGAGTCAGGCAAATGGATCTCTATTAGTTCAAGGTCACCGTGAGCTACACAAAATTGATTCAATCTAAAAGACAAACAGCGTTCACGAAAAGGTTATCCCAGCACTTGGAGTGACACACCTTTAATCCCAGCACTAAGGAGGTGGAGACAGGAGTCATATGGATGGATGGAAAGAGGAATATAAGGCGGAAAGAAGACAGGAGGAGCTCATGGCAGTCTGAGGCGGCAGTGTGAGAAGCAGTCTGAGGACAGGATGGCTCCTTTGGTCTGAACATTGGTAGAGATAAGAACTCTCTAGGGGCTGGCCACTGTTTCTGGGTTTTTATTATTTTATTATTAATACCAATTAGAATTCATGCTACACTTCTTAAAAGAAAAAATATTTCTCAAAAGTTTAAAAGGTAATATAGACTATAAATCCATTTCTCTAAAAATATGTAGCATTATTTACAAAAAAAGATTAGAAACCTAAATGCCAAATATGTATTAAAGATAACTGGGTAACTTAATTCCTTTAATATCTAGTCACTTTACATTAAATTTTCAAAACTAAGCATGTATTCTAATGACACTCACTAAGGTAAAAATTTTAATTTTTGCCTGGTATGGTTGACTAAGGCTTTTAATCCCAGCACTCAGGAGGCAGAGGCAGGCAGATCTCTAGGACAGCCAGAGCAGTTACACAGAAAAACCCTGTTTCGAAAAACCAAAAGAAAGCAAAGAAAAGGGAGAAAAAAGAAAAACAATTTTTCCTGTTTCCTATAGGCTGATAACATAACTCTTTTAACATTTTATTAATAACACTTAAAATTAACTTCATTATATCCTAGAAAGTAACTATTCACATTTTCTGTAATCCCCACCACTGTGTGTGTGTGTGTGTGTGTGTGTGTGTGTGTGTGTGTGTGTGTGTGTATGTGGGCGCGCGCGTGTCTGTGTCTGTCTGTGTGTACATAACTATAGGCACTATCTGATCATTCTTAATGCCACTAGTATACAGCAAAAGAAATTTGCTAAGAAACATCTTAAAAGACTACTAACTAGTGCTTAAGACAATACAATCCTTTCCTTTTGCTCAAATCTCATATTAATTTTAATTTACAATTAGGGTATTTTTTGTTTGTGTTTTTCGAGACAGGTAGGGTCTGTGTGGGCTTGGTTGTCGAAGAACTCGCTCTGTAGGCCAGGCTGACCACGAACTGAGAGATCTGCCTGCCTCTGCCTCCCAAGTGCTGGGATTAAAGGCATGCACCACCACCAACCAGCCCAATTAGTGTATTTTTATTTACCTATTTTATTTCTTAGACATAAAACCAAATACTTCCACTGAATAAAAATAATATAAGATCGACTTTTTTTTTTCTGTCTTAATAGCTACATTTCGATACAATGAAATGAGTGCTGAGTTAGTTAACCGGAGCTAGAAGTTAAGACAATTAACTTTCATTTATCACAGGGTCACAGACAGCATCAGAACTCCTGCTGGTCAGTCCTTGAATCAAATGCACAGCTGGCTCAGCACATATCAACTATCACCAGTAAGAAGTGTCACCTGAGAGCACAGCTGTAAAAAAGCCAGTGAGTCCCACAACAGAGGACATAGTAGGCAATCAAAGTGCAAACTCTACTTCAGGTGCTAAACGAAAATACAGACACTTCAAAATTCAAAATCCATTTCTAGGAAATCAGTACTTATGCTTTCACAGTGGGCTCAGAATATACTTCAGTAGTAGAGTGTATTTTTAGCATGCACAAGACCCTGAGTTCAATCCCCAACACCAAAAATAATAAGTAAATCAATAATATACCAACTTTGACACTCAGTTAAATTACAAAATTTAAGACAAATGCTGATTTTACACTTTTCCCTTTTATCAATTCATGAACTTTTCCCTTTATGTGGCAACTATAATCTAACATTATAGTAACATTCATCTTTCAAAGACAAATCTGTTTTTTATTAGTTGCCGACAACTACAATCCAATCACCTTTCCATCACCCAGTCTCTCTTCTGGCAGACACTTTCCCGTAATGTGCTACACGAGGCAACAGGGTTAGCACGTTAGGTTCGCCTCCTCTAGCAGCTGTGAATCCCTGGAAGTAAGCAAATCCTCCCTACCCACAATGCACTACGAAGTATAAACTAACTATGCGTGGCTTGTCCCTTTGTATCCAATAAGGATTAGTTCTAGGGGACACACACACACACACATACACACACACACACACACACCCCACACCACAGCCCCCATCCCAACATCTTTGGATACTGGAGTCCTTTACATAAAACTGCATAGTTACATGTTATCTATCACACATCCTCCTCTATACTTTAAATCTGAGGATTACTTACAATACCTAATAAAATGTGAATGCCAAGTAAGTGTTACACTGTACCATTTATGGAAAGACAAGAAAAAGGTCTGTTTGCATTTATACAGAGGCAATATTTCACTATCAGTTGATTGAATCACCAATGTAGGACCCTACAACAAGGAGGGCTGATGGTATATAGTATAAATGTAGGTTTAATTCCCTCACACATCAGCCTCTTTTTTTTTTTTTTTTTTTTTTTTTTTTTGGTTTTTTCGAGACAGGGTTTCTCTGTGGCTTTGGAGGCTGTCCTGGAACTAGCTCTTGTAGACCAGGCTGGCCTCGAACTCACAGAGATTCGCCTGCCTCTGCCTCCCAAGTGCTGGGATTAAAGGCGTGCGCCACCAACACCCGGCCACACATCAGCCTCTTGAACTACATTATAAACCCCTGAAGACTTTAGGAGTATACCATCAACAGTTCTGGGCCCAAGAAGACTGGTGAAGCTAAGCAATAAAACCTTTGAATTCCTACACAGCTCTGTATTAGCAAGCATCTTTGGGTTTTGTTTTGTTTTTAAATCAATCTGTAACCAAAGTCACACTTTCTTCCTACTGAACACACACTTTCAACCACTTCTTTGAAGGGAAAAGGATTCCATTCTGTCAGATTCATTCCCCAACACAAATGTTTGCAGCACAGTAATAGAGTTCAGTACATGTGTAATCAATGAAAAACCTAATGACATCTGATTAACCATGTGGTCCTCAGAAAACTTATGAACCTGTAAATTATAGAATTTTTAATATATAATGCATACTAACAACTGAGAATGCTTTCCAATATAACTGGCGTTAAAGGTATCTGCAGAGATGGGAACTGGAACAAGAATGTTTAAAAACGGCTAACAGTTTAACACCCTGCTTCCATTTCCACTTTATCCAGAGGATATAAACGAGAGGGCAAAAAATGAAGGCACGACCCGTAATTCGGTATATGCCCTACAGAAAACAAGAGATACTGATTTGCAAATCATCAGTTAATTTTTACAGCGCTGTTTTAATCCATAAGATTTTTAAACGTTTATCCATGAGCAGCTGGTTCTCATTTCACCAATGTCTTCCCCCCACCTTCGCACCTTCACACACACACACACACACACACACACACACACACACACACACACACACTATGCGTCCCAGTGCCAAACCAATCATCATGGAGGGAAAACTAACCATGTGGTTCATTTTCGTAATTCTTTGTGAAGAACAGTCACAGTTCTTTTTCCCAGAGGAAAATTACCTATTCTAACGGGGATTGAGGAGGAAAAGCAGCTCATTATCAGGCAGCTTCCCATTCTCCATAGGGAGAAAAAAAATGGCATTAACTTGTAATAAGAGACAATCGTTCCACTGTGTCCCCTTTACAGCCTTAAAAAAATTAAATTTAAGGGTTAAGAAATTTTGTTTTGTCTTCAGGGGACATTCACAGGAAGGGAAAACAGAAGCAATTCACTTTGCAGGAACAGGACCTTAAAACCGCGAGAAGAGGGCAGGAGGTAACCTATCCCCATCACACACAACCCTGCCATCCGAGCAGCATTCCGCTATGTACAAAAAGCCACTCTCCACCTCCTCCGCCACCCGGAACACTGACAGGCGAGGAGTGCGGGGGCCAAGGGACAGAGACGAGGAGGCGGGCCTCCACACACGCACCGCACCGCGGGCCCGCACGGGGCTTCTGGGGCGTTCCGCCAAGCCCGCCACCTCCCGCCGCCGCCGCCGCCGCCGCCGCCCTCGCCCGGTCCCCACCCCGGAGCCGCTCCCCGGGCCGAGCACCGCGGGGCCTCCTCAGTCGGCGGCGCCCCGCACACCCCCGCGACCTGACGCTCTCAGCCGGGGGACGCGACGCACCTGGATGTAGTTGTTCTCGCAGTAGTCGGCCACCCGCTCCAGATTCGTGTAGCTGTCGAAGAGGGCCCGGCGGCCCCCCGGGATTTCCTCTTCCAGCAGCATCTGCAGCTCCGCCATCTTCACATCCTCCTCCTCCTCCTCCTCCTCCTCATACAGCCCGCAGAGGCAGCGGCCGCGACGCCTGAGAGAGGAGGAGCAGCGGCGACCGCGGCGGGAATCGGGAGGAGCGAGCTGCACCCCCGGCGCGCGGCGGGGGAGGGAAGGGGCGGCGGGCACGGAGGCGGGGCGCGAGCCGGCGGGCCGCGAGGACGGTCACCGCGGCGACGGGCGGCCGGGCGCGCGCACGCGCGCTCCCCTCCCTCCGCCCCCGGGCGCCCGAAAAAAGATTCCCTCCCGCGCCGCCCCTCCCCCACTTCCGGCGTCTCCTAGCGACGGCAGGCAGGGGCCGGGATGCGCGCGGGAGTCGGGCTCCGGGTTAACCCTTCGGCCCCGCGCGGGTTTCCCGGCTCTGGAAGTCCCTCGGCTGCCTTTGTTAGCCCGGCGGGAATGCGCCGCCGCCCCCATCCTTCACCTCGGCGCTACGCCCCAGGCCGGAACCCTGGGGAGTCAACCGCCCGTAGAAGCTCTCCAGGCCCCTCCGGGGGCCTAGGGAGGACACAGTCACACACCCTCCGTGAGAGATCACACCTCATCAGAGCAGCCAGAACCACTGAATGCCAACTTGAACCTCATCCTCTCCTTTACAAAGTATATTGCAGTTGCCTAATCCCAAATCTGTTCATCATTCATTCATTCGTACTCCTTGTCTCCCTCCTCTCTTTTTCGAAAAGTCTCCCCGATGTAGACCAGGCTAGCTGAAATTACACATATGTATGCTGTGGTTGCCCAGCCTGGATCTCCTCCTCTCTTGACTTTTTTTCAAATTTTCGATGGTGGGTTTGCTGGTGTTTTTGCTGGTACTAATTTCATTATTCACATGGTTTTGGCATGAATAAAATTAATAAACGCACATTGAAAAACGTTTAAGTAATACAAAAAAATCAAGATAGTTCATTCTGATCTTGCTTGTAATCCATATGTCTAATCTTTTTTCATAAATATGATTACCCCACACGGCGAAACTTGAAAAAAAAATAATAAAACTGACATCTTCTGAGATACTGAGGCCACGACCTTTATTTGTTCTGTGGAAAACCCAAAGGGTACCATCTTAGAAGGTAGTTCATGATTTGTGGCTTCAAACTTTTATTGCTCTTTCGGTCACTGGCCCGTCTACAATCGATTTTCAAATGATGAGGAAACAATATACATTCCTAAAAAAAGAAATCAAATGCATACCATCACACATTTGTGGAGTAAACCCTGTGTTGTTTCATTAGCTTTTGATAAATACTTTACCAATATGTGTGAGCTTTTATTCCAGAGCCCAAAACACCATTTTTAAATGTTGAAGTGGTCCAGCTGGATCTATTCTTATCCACTTTAGACACCTGTCTCAGTGTGAATGTTCTCCAAGTGTGAGAATCTTGTTAAAAACAAGAGGGAGAGCTGGGGGTTGTAGCTCAGTGGCACTGTGTGTAACATGGGGGGAAAAGAGAAACTTGAAGTGTGTAAGAGAAGTGTGTAAATGTCACATACACTTGCTTCAGGAAATGAGGTACAGATGATGAAAACAAACGTCAGATCAGACTACCATACAAACTTCAATAGAGCAAAACACTTTCTTGATGAGTCTAGAGAGATGGCTCAGCAGTTAGAGCACATATTCTTTCCAGATGACCAGTTTTGTTCCCAACAGCCATGTCATACTGCTCACAATCACCAGTAACTCTAGCTCCAGGAGAGCCAACGCCCTGCTCTGGCACCTACCAGACCCTACACACATGTGGCACACACACACATAAATAAAAAGAATGTTTTCAAAAACTTTGTTAACAAAATTTCAGGACAGTGATGGCACATGCCTTTAATCTTAGCACTCAGGAGGCAGAGGCAGGTGGATCTCTATGAGTTTGAGGCCAGCCTGGTCTACACAGTGAGTGCCAGAACAGCCAAGGCTACAAAGAGAAACCCTGTCTGAAAACAAACTATAACTCTCATCTTAAAAGGAGTAAGAGATGGTTTAAAACTCTGGAGCCACTTCGAGTGACGATGGCTAGGGAACACAGACTTAGCTAACCCAAATTCCAATTTCCAACGTGAAAGCAATGTCACCACGTTCTTATAGTTTTACAGAATAAACGTCACAAGTCAAGGGGCTAGAGAGATGGCTCATCAGTTTAGAGCACTGGCTGTTCTTCCAGAGAACCCAGGTTCAAACCCCAGCACCCACATGGCAGCTCTCAATTGTCTGTAACTGCAGTTCCCAGGGACGCAACTACCTCACACAGACATACATACAGGCCAAACACCAAATGCACATTTAAAAAAAAGAATAGGAAATCAAAAGCAAATTCAAAATGCATTGGTGGGTACATCAGAGAGCAGGTGCATCAAGATTGAGGGAGCCTTTCTCTAAGCTCAGAATGCCATCTGATGACATCCTTAACTTCTGAACTGGTTGAAGCCAGTTGCCTGCTAAGTTAATAAACACACACACACATTTATTTATCTATTGTCACTAGAAGTTGATTCCAACACTGGAGGGGGAGGTGCAAGGACTGGCTGTGTGGAGGGCCAGAACTTAGCCCAAGATAAGGTCATTAGCCTCTGCACCTGCAGTATGCCAGTCTCCACAGCACTGAAATTCCCCTCAGCCAGCCAGGCTCTGCAGACACAGAATCCGCTAAGGTTTCCTTCACACCCAATGCAGCTTCTTTTGAGAAGTTTTCCTTCACCAAGTCTACCAGATAAAGTAGATGGAATCCTTCCCTGCCATACCCCCCCCCAGCATTCTTTCAAATGCTGCCTAGCAATTTTTCCAAAAGACAAATTTCCTGGAGGAGAGTTCATCAACTCGCCAAGGGAAAATAATAGTGCTCTTTCTAATTTGTGACAGCTCCTTCAGCTCTTTGATCGTTTGTCTAAAAAGAATCAGAACTAGGATTGTAACTCAGTGGTCGAGCACTGACTAGCATGCATACACCCTTTTACACTCAGAAGCCTGAGGGCACAAGATGCAGGCATACATTTTTGCTGCCACCAAAACTGATTAAACAAAATAGAGGAGGGGAGAGGAGGAGGAGGAGGAGGAGGAGGAGGAGGAGGAGGAGGAGGAGGAGGAGGAGGAGGAGGAGGAGGAGGAAGAATAAATAAAGAAAGAAAACAAGCACAAAAACCTATAGAGACTCCACAGTTATTAGAATCTAGGACTGGACTGTAGATCTCTTGAAAATTCCCACCAATTGCCCATACTTGTCTAAGTTGATCGATGTAATTGAAATCTACTAAATTTTTATGTTTCTCCAATGAATTGTTATGGTAAAATGAATTCATTTAAGCCATCCAAAAATAGCAAAATAGACAAGCCATGGTGGCACACACCTTTAGTCTCAGCAATTGGGAGGCAGAGGTGTACAGATCTCTGAGTTCAAGGTCAGCCTGGTCTACAGATCAAGTTCCAGGACAGCCAAGACTATACAGAGAAACCCTGTCTCGAAAAACCGAAAGTCCAAAGCCACAGAGAAACCCTGTCTCGGAAAAAAAAAAAAAACCGAAAGTAACAAAATAATAGCATTTATTTCATTTGAACTCCATATGAACAGAAACAAAGATGACTCTGGGGGAACAAGACACATTTCAAGAACTCTTAAAAATAATTTTAATTCTATTTCTAATGTACTCATTTATGAGGTTATCTTGGAGCAATCTTTTGCAACTGTATTCACTAAGTTCTTTGTATCTTATGTTTTTGACAGTCAGGGTCTATCTGATGCTAGTGACGATGCAGCACAAGCTCAGCAGGCACTTCTCTGCCACAGAGCAGCTTTCCTCAACCTCCTTATCAAAAGCCATTGGAATTATAGCCTTCCTTCTGCCTATCGCGTCCTCCCCAGAAAGCAACGTCCCATCTCAGGACAACCTGCTTGCCATTTGCTTCTCAAAACAGTTCACACACAAATTACCTATAATCATTTTACATTACATCCTTCATGGCCTAGAAAATTTTAAAGGTTTGCTTTTTCATCAAATACATTTAGGGCCGATGCATTATGGAAAAGACCAGGGAAGCAAAGTTGAAGGCAGAGGCCAGTTTGAAGTTAGACTCAGTGTGACAACATTCTTGGCCCTTTGGTTGACTGGAAACTAGGAGTCTCTAATTCTAAAGGATTTATCAAATGGTCACAAAAGATGTCACATATCATACAGAGGAGAACAATAAATGGCTTAATAATAAGGGGGCTAAAATAGTCCCAAGACAATTCAGTTCTGGACTTGTAATATTCCTGCCCCCCTGCGCAACTAAACAGAACATTGACCTTGCAGGATTTTCAACAAAAGGCCAGCTCTTTTCAGCAAATGTTGTTCACAATGTCATTTTCCCCTTCACAGAAATCTCTTATGGAAAAAGATAAATAACAATGTTAAAAATAGTCAACTACTGCCGGGCGGTGGGGGCACATGCCTTTAATCCCAGCACTTGGGAGGCAGAGGCAGGCAGATCTCTGTGAGTTCGAGGCCGGGCTGGACCGATAGCCTCCGAAACAATACAGAGAAACCCTCTCTCATAAAAACCAAAAAAAAAAAAAAAAAACTAGTCAACTACTAAAAGTAACGTTTAGTCTTCCTCCCTGCTACCTGGTTCCTGTTGCTCTCAGCCCCCAAATAACACATAAGACACTATATTAATTATGAAGCTGTTGACCATTTGCTTGGCTTCTTATCGGCTAGCTCTGACTTGATTATTCACCCATAATTACTAATATATTTTATAAGAACTTACCTTTACAAGGACACATTCCTGCTGCGTTCCTTCCTCCTAGGAGATCACATGGCAACTATTCTCTTCACTACATTTCCCAGAATCCTCCTAGACTCCTAGTACCACCTTATCTTGCTTCCCTACTGGCCAACAATGCTTTATTGACATATACACAGAAGAAATTCCCTCATCATTTCCTCTTTTTTGTCTAAATGAAAAGGTTTTAACTTTAACATAGTTAAATTACATATAACAAAAGTTACCAAGCAAGAACTATAGTTACAATATTTTGTCCATTAACATTTAGTAAGATTTAAAGAAAGTATTTTATTTTATTTTATTTTTTTCCAGTTTAAATTTAGATAAAAAACAAGGTTGCGCTTTCCGGTGGAGAAGTCTGGAGACGACGTTCAGAAATGGCACCTCGCAAGGGGAAGGAAAAGAAGGAAGAACAGGTCAT